TCATATATATATATATATATATATATATATGAATGACCTGTTTTTCTTTTTTATTCTCTTTTCAATTAGTAAATGCAGCTGCACTTATCTTGGGAGCAGAAAATCATCATAAAGCCAGTGTTCCTAGAGCACCAACAAAAGAGGAAATGTCCCTGAGAGCTTATACTGCTCGATGCAGGTTGAATAAACTACGACGTGCAGCATGCCGTTTGTTTACCTCTGAAACAATGGTTAAAGCTATTAAGAGACTGGAGTTTGAGATTGAAAGTAGACGTTTGCTAGTTCGGAAAGATAGGCATCTCTGGAAAGATATTGGTAAGAATGTACAAATGTTGTTATATTTAGTATTTTTGGTAAAATAGAATTGAAAGTGTATTTATTATAAGTGTACAAGTAGAGTAGAAAATCTTTGTAACCAGGTGGCTTTGTAACAATGAAATATGGTTTAAAAGTGTTTGCTGAATTTAACATTTCATCATACTTTGCATTCATTTCAGGAGAAAGACAGAAAGTCCTCAACTGGCTTTTATCTTACAACCCTTTGTGGCTACGCATAGGTCTGGAAGTAAGCAATGCTTCTTATGGATACTCTATTCTTGTAAAGCCTGTGCCAAGAGTGGATCTCAAGTTCAACTGTAGCTGGCAGGCAGCTCTGGTTTATTATCAGAACAGAACAATTTCACATTTCCTTTTAATTCATGGTTGTCTTGTTACAAAAGAGAATATTTCATCGGGCAATTTAAAAGTGCCTTTCTGTGAGGAATACCCTGGAACTGGGCTGATGCTCCTTTGCTGTTGCTCAAGTAACTTTACCCTTCAGTAGTTGGTAGGAAATTGACGCCTAGTGCGCTCCCACTATACTGCAGCCAGCTATGTTGGGACTGGTTAGGGAGCTCCTGATGGAAGCAGAGAACACTTTCCAGACACCGAAGAGCCAGTGTAGATCACATTGATACTAATTTTAACTTTTTAGATGGGCATTGCATTTGGGATACCTTCTGGAATAAAACTAGGACTGTAACCTTGTTTACTGTTTTGCAGATTAATCTGTTTTCAAAAATATGGGCAGGTTACTAATTATTTTTGCTAGTGAGAAACTCTTAAATAGTGTACTGCTATTTATTTTGAATATATCCTACTGAAACTCGAAAGAAAGAATACAATTGTGAGCATTTTTTTAATTTTAAAGAGTTTCCTTTATTTTTTGTTTTTTCTCATTAGACTATTTATGGAGAACTGATTGCTTTGGAGAGTAATAGTGATATTATGGGTTTGGCAATGTTTATTCTCAGTCGCCTACTTTGGAACCCTGATATAGCAGCTGAATACAGACACCCCACTGTACCTCACCTTTATCGGGATGGTAACTACTACTTTTTAAAATAGACTATTTTTAGCATTTAACTTTGCATTCATAAATAACATCTTTATGAACTTCATATTTTTAGGTCATGAAGAAGCTTTGTCTAAATTTACATTGAAAAAATTGCTGCTGTTAGTTTGCTTTCTTGATCATGCCAAACAGTCTAGAATCATTGACCATGACCCTTGCCTCTTCTGCAAGGATGCAGAGTTCAAGGTAAAGTATGGTAGCCATTTCTTTTAACGATGTTGTTTGATGTTTGAACATATGACTTTGTATGCATATAATATAAAGTTGCTTTTTTAATGTTAAGACTTTAGTACTAGTCACACTCAGCAAATCTTCCAGGAGGTCACTAGCTGTGTAAGACTTACCATCAGGACTTCTGAAGTGCATATAATTTATAGGGAGCTCAAGATCCTTGCATTCTAGAGGTGCTTTCCTTCTCTTTCTAAGACTAAATACTGCTCTGCCACAGCATTTGTCATCTGAAGTTAAATCCTCTTGCATTTTGAAAGTTTATCTGAGGGCTGTCCTACAATACTTTGTTCTAGAAAGCTAGGCTGCATGTCCCTATCTGTCATGCTAGATGTTTACTTAGTAAATAGCCTCATTTATGTTTAACTGACTAGAGTAAAAATGGTTTTTAGTTCAAGTCATGGTATAAAAGTGTCCATTACTTAGACTACAACACTGTTTAATGAGTTAAATGCATGAGTAAATAAAAAGAAAAAATTGTTCATGAACTTCTGAGGATGCAGAACAGGTATGATTAACTAGTGTTACAGCAGCTTGATTTTTTTTTTTTTGCTGCACACCTAGGGAAGTTATGAAAGCAGTCATTAGGAAACCAGTTAGCTATCTGTGTCAGCGTTAGAATATTGTGGACACAATTTAAATGCCATGAAGAGATATTTAAGTACTTGAATTTTTGTATCTTATGCATAGTACTAAACGACAAATAACAAAGCTAAAGGCATTTAGGGGAAGGGATCAAAATGGTCACTTGGTCTAAGTTTATTTTATTTCCTCTTAGAATAGTAAAGATGTTCTACTGGCATTTTCACGAGACTTCCTGAGTGGTGAAGGTGACCTTTCCCGTCATCTTGGCTTCCTGGGATTACCTGTTAGTCATGTTCAGACACCACTTGATGAATTTGACTTTGCTGTTACAAATCTAGCTGTAGACTTGCAATGTGGCATTCGTCTTGTGTAAGTTGATACAGAATGGTTTTGTGACTATCTATATTTGTCTAATCCTTCTGTAAGCTGAACTAAGACACTTCAATATGAAATCTCTTTATTGTTAGGAGAACAATGGAACTCCTCACAAAAAACTGGAGTCTCTCAAAGAAGCTAAGAGTTCCTGCAATAAGTCGTCTCCAGAAGATGCATAATGTTGATGTTGCCCTTCATGTTCTTAAAGAGCGGGGAATTCAGTTGAAAGATGAATGTGGTAAGAATTGAAAAGTAGTGCTAGAATAACTATGCATTTGAAGAACAGGAATACATATTTTAATCACTGTTGTATTTGATTTATAGGTGCTTCAATCGAGTCTAGGGATATTGTGGACAGGCACAGAGAGCGAACTTTAGCACTGCTGTGGAAAATTGCCTTTGCTTTCCAGGTATTGCATAAAGTTTGTGTGTAGTTGTAAAGAATTTTAAGAAATGTTACAAATGAGAGGAGATAATGCATGG